CACTTGAAGAGATAGGTTACTTTGGCAAGTGATAAAAACGTCTTCATTGGTAATATTTTCAACTATAAGAGGTGTAACTTGTGAATATTTTCTTCCAGGATCCACATAACAATACCCTAAATTTAGCTCATCTTCAAGTGAAGGGAATGACAAATATTGAGCATAATGGATGTAACCATGAAGAGTAAAGCTGCATTGAGCCTGAGTTTCACAATTCCGGACAATCAATGAATGCTTTTGGCGACCAACATCAGTTGCGATGACTGTAAAATCAACCCGACGTGTTTCTTGAGCCGATAGTTTTCCACGTTTCTCATCAATTTGAAAAAAAGAACACTCGCTTTCCGAAACAATAATTTCATATTCTAGCAAATTATCACCTCTGTTGGTCAATTTAAAGTAATAATTGTGATTTTGATTGACTTCAAGTTTCCCAATGTCAAGAACTGACGGCTCTAAACTTAAATTTTCAGGTAAATAGTCGTTACTTTCGGAAGGGTTTGCATCTTCTTGTAATGGTCCTAGCGATGGTGAACGAGCTGAAGATCTTGAACTTATTACATTGGATGTATTGCGTAATGAAGATAAAGAATTTGACTTTTCCTTTACTATTTGTTCAGATATTTCTGTGGTTGTAGTAGAAAACTCTGTCTCAGGACGACTCTCATTATTATTAGACACATCATTTGATGCCTGCAAATAACTAGAGTCATAGCAAACTGTAGCCTGAAAACTAATAGCCTTAACAATATCAGTGTTTTTATGCTCATGCACATATACTTGACCAGTAATTTGTTCGCAAGATATTCCTTGGCACGCTGTTTCCTCGCTGGTTGAACTTGACATGTTGGTAGCAATGGCCCTAAAATATAAAAACACCGTTTTTGTAGTCTGAGGCTCAATAGAAAAAATAATTGACGTAGACGTTTTTTTATAGTTGGCATCTTTTCCTTTACTAGAATTAGAGCTGAAAACGCGCTTAGTATGATGATCTGCCAATTTTTCGACACGTGCCGGCTGTCTACTTTGCGTAAAATTGTTTTCGCCAGGTCGTTCGTTGGTTGAGCTACTCAATAATGTTTCCTCAGAAATTGTTTGTTGTTCATCACTGAACTTTTCTTCCTTTGACGCAATGTCATTTACAAAATCTATAGCAGTTTCATTAACTAATTCATTTGCAGTTTTCGAATCCTCGATTCCTGATTTCCCTCGTCGCAATGTCTCTAATTGTTTTTCAATTTGCTCCGCTTTGCCAGTGTAACCTTTACGCCTCGCAATCTTAACTTTTTGTTCCAAATCTTCAATTTTATCTTCCGTTTCCTTGCTAAGAATTCCACCGGTCGATAATACGCCATCAACTTCTTCCTGAGGGATAAAATCCAATTCACCAAAACATACATTAAACTTTAAATCTCGTGGATTAATTCGCACCTCAAATGTGCGTGATTGTTTGTTAGTGTTGCTTACTATAATGCTCCGTACAACTGGTGCATTGTCATTAATTAGACAGGTACCAAAATCAATATTTTGTGGCTGGATAGAAAAGTTAAATGGTTTACGGATATCCGCTTTCACTGAAAGCATTTGGTTATTATCGTGATCCTGGATATTTTCAATAATAAACCTCTCATAAAATTGACCCGTAAATCTGGATTTAAAAGTGAACTCTACTTCTTTATTTCCATATCCACGGACGACTCCTAATTGACCTGCACCAAATACAACGTCCCTAGATGTAATCGATCCAGATTTCCGTATATTATATAGCAAAGGCACTTCACTTCGATTTTGAATGAGTATAGTCTTATTTCGACGTTCACCCTTATCTATTATTCCAAAATTAATATTTTTTTGCCCAAGAACCATATACGACCTACATAATGTAGCATTCACCATAAGTTCCCTGACAGGAATTTGGTCCTGATTACCATGAAGTAAACCATCAAACTGAGGCTGCTGAATGTCACGATCAAAATCTATTAGGCGTATAAATACTTTAGCATCGCACTTTTTTGGTAAACCTTGCACATTTGGTCGCAGCACTTGCTTTGGTGTAAAGATTACTATTATCTGGCTTTCACCGGAGGGAGGAATTTCTACCATTTTAATTGGAACAATCTGATGTTCTTTTATGCGGTTGCGTAATTCTCGCATGAGACCAATCTGATTTTGCACGTAAGCTTCTTCAATTGATGACTTAGGAAACAATGGTGGGGTTGTGATGTTATTGGCCTCAAGGGTTGCAATTAGAATGTCTATCGGCATATTAGAAAATGTATACCTATCTACAACTTTATTTTTTACATAATTTCCTTTTGTAAGTATTAGGTTAGTGCTTTCAGAATCGTGATCCAATTTATCTCCAAACGACTCATCGCCAACATTACTCTCGCCGATATCAGAATTCGCTCTCTCAAAAGAAGCGCTTGGGGCATTAGTTGAACCGGTATTGAAAGCACAAATACTACCAGAACCACTTGTAGAAACAGGTACAGAATAACTTTCTCTTATTCTTTCGATCGCGGGACTTATGCCTGTTTTACTTATCGGTGTTTTCTGTTGCCTCCTTCGTGAAGAACGACGCAGATCTACTGACGCGGGACCTGCCAAATCAAGATAATCCGTATTATATGTTGTCACCTCAGCTAGAGAGACATCAGGTGTGTTTGGAAAAAGTCGTTTATTAGCAATGCTATAATGAGTTTCTTCCGACTTGATTTCAGAATTTGCTGCAGATAAATTCGCTATATTTATATTTTTTCCAGTAAAGTCAGTAGTCAAAGTATATTTTTTTACTAGCCGACGTTCACAAATAGATTTTAATAGCTTCTCTCTTTTTTCTATTTTGAAGCTATTTGAATCAGTTTCTCCACTCCTTCCAAGATTACTATCTGAATCTGTAAGTGCATTCATAATGATGTCTCCTTGGTTGCTAAGGTCATCAGTTTTTTTACGCTTTTGATACATGACTATCTCTTCTGGCAAAGAGGACGTTATTTCAAGAACTAATTTCTTGGTGCCAATGTTATCAATCGTAAAAGTCCGGATGGACGGTGAATTTAGCACAGTATATCCAAAATCAATGAAATTACTGCCATTTGATGTTAAAGTTCGATAAAATAAAGAATGAAATGTGACGCGATTCTTGTCGATGTTCGTACTTCTAACTTCAATTATCTGGTCATTATCTCGATTTTGTAAATTAACGACGGTAATTTGCTTACGATATTCCACGTTCACTTTTCTGGGATACATATCAAGCTTGACCTCCGTTGAAAGCTTTGGCGGGATAATTATTTCCTTACGAGTGCAATAGAGTACTTTTGAATCAAATCTAAGTTCAACGCGTGCAGTCAACTCTGATAAATTTGTAACGGTAATAGGCATTGATTTAAGAGTGCCAACATCTGTATCTCCGAAATTGACTTCCTTTGGACTGACTTCAATGAATGAGGTGCAGCTGCGAGCTTTACATTGAATAATTTTGCGCCCCTGACCGACTGTACTTAAACTAGTTGAACTAGCATTGATAGGAGCATATTGAACAATAATTCGAAATGTTTTACGGGTAAGTAGAATAGCATTGAAATCTGTGGCTGAAGAATCTTTCTCTGGACGGTAAGACACCTGAACAGTACGTTCCTTTCCGGGTTTAAGACGGAGTTCCTCTATTTGAGCGGATCCATCAGCATCTCCGATACCAAAATCGGACTTCCTAAAAGAATCACTAATTAAAAAGCTTCGTCCAGATATATTTTCACTTTCCAAATCCGAATCTTCCATAACACTGGTGCGATGTCTGCTCGCTGATCTTGATGCTGCCTCCGATGATGGCTCGCTGACTACGCTTATATTCTCAGGAGAAACTAATCCATCTGACTCGTGTGCTGGAGCAATTGGAGACATCGACCTAGAACTAACCTCACTGCCAGGAACTGAAATCTCACTAACTAGACTAGAATTGATATTATTAACCATGGGTGTACTGCTGGAAATGTTTGTATCATTGAATTTCTGATGTAGTGGTGCCATGTCTTCCAAATCTTCGATATGAGCCCTCGTACTCATATTATCATATTTTATTAATTCATTATTAATCAAATGAAATGATACATCTGCATTTTCAGATGTAAAATGGATTTCCAGGGGTCTTTCACTGACATTCTTTAGCACCAATTGTTGTTTGCTCCAGACACCAGCGCAGCAATCTCCGAAATCGAGGATATTACCACTACTAATGACTAATGACTCTTCGCTTAACACTGATCTAACAACTGAATGAATCCTGCTTTGCAAAACATTTGTAGGATCATTGGCATTTTCAAGTTGGAGATCGTAATTAAATTCACCAATTTCCTTTGGTCGAAATGTGACTCTAATTCTCCTATGAGAGTAACTTGGTATTGGTTTGGTATCCAATAACTCTCCTGTATCATAATCTGTAAACTTCAACCAATCTTCACGTTTAGAATAAGACAAGTCAACTGTATTTAAAAGCCAATATAATTCGATTTCTGATCGATTCCAAATAGTAAAATCCTTAAAGTAAACACCACCAATCACACAATCATCAAAATTTATCCCAGTTTCCCCAACGTCTGTCCACAACACGGAACGACATACTGTGGAACGAAACTTGACGGTAACCTGGTGATCTGCTCTGGATGTGCCACTGATAGTCTCTATGTCACGATAAGGCGTGCTCTCAATATCGGATTTGGATAATTTATTATCCAAGGATGAAAATTGTATATATTCTGAATCTTTTCCTTTGTGATATAATTGGTATAGTGATAATAGTAATAATAATAATAATAATAAAATCATATAAAAGGTAAGCTTTATTGTATATGCAATTTAATTTAAATAACATTTATTGAATTGAATCAAACCTATATCGATTTCCATGGTCGAAGACGTCGAAGAGTGAGTATTTACATCATTTTCTTCTTGCCTGTCAACCAAATAGGCAAAAAAAAACAGAAGACCATTGACTTCAAAAAAATCAAAAGTCTCATTTTCTTCAAGTGATGGTGTAAATAGATTAGCATTAACTCTTGGATCCTCTACTTTATTAGAGTTCATCATAATAATGGACACACCGCTAATGTCATCCACAGATGAAGATGTCAAAGAACTATCGGCGGCGGATCTCCGACTTTTGTGACGATGGTCTGGTAAAAATGCCAAAATAACCCTTTGAGAACATCCGGGCGCGATTTCTACTTCGTCTATATGGTTTACGTAATTAAAAAGTTGATTGAACTGATGCCCATTGACATTATCCCCAAATGCTCCAGCTGCAGCTGCAGCGACTGTATTTGTAGTAATATTAGTCAGTGGATCTTCTGGCTTCGTACTAAGTAATATATCATTTTCAGGGACTGGTGAAATATAAGGCGACGGTGAATTCGACGAGTCATTAATTTCTTTTGGGATGGGTGAACATGGTCTCAATTCAGGAAGATTTTCATTAGTGAGTTGAAACGCGATCTGGGAGCCAAGGTTGGAGCGTAGTTTGATAAGGATAGTGCTTTGTGTTATGTTTCGAATTTCAAAGTGCCTTAAAGCGTGCAATCTGTTTAGATAAACTTTTTCTAGCATAAGACGGCTGGGCATATTCATTAATTCAAACAACGGTGAGGAAGAGTGATGAACCATTGAATTGGGACGTAGAGGGAGACATCTATCATTGATTCTAGCAGCCATCACTACAGATCTATTATTGTAGTGGAAATCCAAAACCGAAAAAGTCTAAGATATTGTGAAATTTTTCCTTCTTTCGCTCACAACACTTATTAAAGAAGGAATATGTTAATAGCCCAACAGTGCCAACCGTGTATGTACAAAACTGCATGGTCCTTTATTGCTGACTATTCATGAGGACTATACAAGTGTCCTCCTTATCAAATTTCGCTTGAGAATTCAATTTTCTTTTTTTTTTTTTTTTACTTAAATCTACTATCACGTGTTCATATTATTTGATCGTCTAAAGCCAGGTATATAGTAATTTATATTCCTCACATGACTTTTACTTTACAAATTTATTAGTGGCAAGAATCTGCGCAAATTTATTGGTTAACTATGAACAGATGGAATGGTAGGTTAGTGATATTGTCTTGAACGTACGTACGTATATACTGTACATGTATATTTTGCAAGTTTATATCTAATTTCTTTCTTCAAATGAAATTGATACAGTACCGGACAGCATGAGACATCCAATTTTTATTAATAAAAACTTTAAATTAAAACTTTAAATTATAACTTCTTTAATACAAACTAGATCAGAAAACCCTTCGACAAATTGATGGATTTTTGGCCAAATTACATTTTTGTCGGAGGATTTTTTATATGTAAAATCAATCAGATTGCCAGATCTTGCGTAACCAAAACAAAGCAAAGAAATAAAAAAAAAAAAACCAATAACTCAAAATTTTATTATGAAAACTATGCTTCGACTTCTAAGCAAAAGTTTTTAGCAACAAATTTTTCATGTAAACAATACCTTTTACCCTAATCTAAAGCTAAACCTAACCTCTACCCTTAAGGGTAGAGTGTATGTAGATCATTTTTTATATAATCTCGATGGTACATTTTTCTTATTTTTAATATTTTAAAAATATTTATTAAGTTAACTGCTTTTAATTTATAAGTAAATATTGTAGAATAGATTTTTTTGATTCTAATAGTAATAAAATTATTCAAATTGATTAAATATTTAACAAGAAATTTACATTTAAAGATTTTTGATATGTGATATCAACCAATCAAAATCAACGATTTTTGTGTAATCTCAGAAAATTTGAACAATCCTTGAAAAATATATGATATATACAAGTATGTTTTTTTTTTAATTTTTTTTTCACTTTGGTCATCTTGTCAATATTCTTTATTATTGGGTGTCGATTGGTTAGAACAAGACCATACAAAATACTATATAATTTATAGTTTAACATCCTGCAGTTACTTCAAAGAGCACTTACAAGCGACTGGCCACACTAAGCAAAAATATCTATATGAATATATCACAATAAGTTTCAAAATAGAAACTCTATCTATCTCAGAAAGCTTTGTCAGACCACCGCCCTACAATAAGATGACATCTTCTCATAGAGAAGTGGAAAAACTAAAAAAAAACACTAACATTAATACTAATATTAAAAAGAGAAGAAAAAGTAACGAAAACCAATACTAAAAAACAAATACAGAGATGAAAGGGTAGTAAAAGTCTGACAGGTCACAATTATAAACCTGTGTCAAGCTTCTTAAAAATTACATATTAATAGAATAAAGAAGTTTTGTATCTAACTCTACTCTAATAATATATGTATTTATATCAAAAAACCTATATTATAAAAAAAAAATGTTCTAAACTAAAATAAAAAACTTAGACAGAGTAGTTAAAAAGAAATCATAATCTTAAAATATTATTTGCGGTTTACAGCAGTTGAGGCATGTCACCAACGTGTATTTCAGATATATTGTTTCTATACATAAGGTTTTCTACTCAGTCTACTCTGAAGCACCTGATTGCAGTCTACTGGTTTATTTCTATTATAGGCTGAGTTGCCCTAGACCACTTTAAATAAACAACACATTATAGATATCTGCTTTGAGAAAATAAACAATACTGATTGTTTTGGTAATTTTACATATTGATCTTTTGGAGAGGTAAGCTAAAATGCCACTTTAGTAACAAATTTTCTCGAAAAAAAGTGGTGGGTCAACAAACCTTTTTTGTAGTTGTTCCTTATAAGTTTTATAGTTATATAGATATGATCCAAAGTTTGAAATACTCCTGGTGTCGTCCTAGATGTTTTATGTTTCCAAAATAATCTTTTGGTTTAAATGCTGAATAGAAAAGAGAAGTCTACCAACCAAAGCTTAACCTCTTCCAAAACCAGTCTAAAGTAGACTGCTTCTTGGTTTTATATTCTCAGTACTTTATTGATAACACATCTACTTTTGTAGAACCAAGTTTATTATTTACTTTAACATCTTTTATAGTACTGACTATAGTTTGGTTTTTTGGATTTGTTGACCAAAGAGTTCGACTTGGATATATATATGTTTTTTTTAAATATTATATCTATTAAATTTTATATCATTATAAAAAGTATATATTACTGGAGAAAAAGGTCTGATGCTATAGAATTCAAAACCAAGAGAAGTAAACCAGAAGGAACTTAAAACCTAGATACAACAACCTTTCTGGGCTAACTGGTTTGGTAGTTGGGGAGGGATCAGTATAAGGACTGGTTAGAAGTGGATATTAGAATCAGAATAAATCTTGTAAAGGACAAGAAGTAGGTAACGGTAGCAGTACAGAAGATCACAAGTTTTAGTTCTCAGATTGGGATATATGTTACTAAAAAACTCAGGTGATATATGTGTGGGACATGGACTGCTTTGGTAAGTTTACCATGAGGATAAAGTAGTCCTAAGGGGCCTTAGTAGCAGGAATTCTTCCAGAGAAAGTATCTGATAGCGCTAAGTTGATTAGAGGGTTTAAATAAAGGATTCACAAGCAGATTCTAGATATGGCAATTAGTAGTGTTACAGTACCGTGGCCTTCTTAACAGCAGTACTATAACAATGACACAGCTACAGGGATCATTTACAGGTTTATAGCGGTATCCAACAGGTAAGTATAATTTCTACTACAACTAGAAACTATACCCTTCTGTCTGTGGCAGTTCGGGCAGACAATAGTTT